CCAATGCCCAGGAGAACTCCCTAGCACTGCTTTTGTTATATGAAGGCAATGCAGCATTAGGTACAAATAAGATGGGAAGGTACAAACACACTCTCAGACAGAGACTCTGGGTGGGTAGCGAAGTCAGAGCAGCGTGAGCTTCGTCAAAGCCAGAGTAGGATTAAGCATAATTTGCCTTGAGAAAGGAGTAGAAGGAAACCTGCAGAGACTAGAGAAAATAATTTAATAGTATTTTCAGCTTTAGAGGAAATTAAGATGCTCAATGTGAAGTATTCTTTTAAGCTTTGTTTTACGTGTCTCTCGGTAATTGGATCCCAGCAGGATTCTTCCAAGTAGAACTGAAATTTCCTTGCATTTTTAATTTTGCAAAGGTGGCATCACTCTACCTGTCATTTACAGACAAACTGGATATTGAGTGGAGGAGGAGAATATACTTACTGTTCACTTGACTTTTCCTTCCCCCGCCTTGTCTGTCCTTGTCTTGCCTCTCCTGGCCTTGCCTTTGGATAGTACATCTCACACTGAGGGTTTTTTTAACCTTTGACCTGGCAATACAAAACCCCTGCTGACTTAGAAGCAGGTTTATGGATGAGTAGCTCTTTTCAATGAGTATGTCAGTTTTCATAAGAAGAGCGGAAGGGAGTTACTTCTGGGTACAAGGATGTTTGCCGAAGTTGTGAGAAAGTTCCCTGTTTAAAACAAGAGGTGGTAAGAGGAAGAGGTTATAGTTTACAGAGCAAGTGTAAAAGCATGCAACTGCTAAAAAAGTATCACTGAAAGTTTATTTGTGGGGATGAGTGTTCAGATCTGTTAGTCATTACTGACTGCCACTCCTCAAAATACCACCCATCTGGAGTTTTGCTTAGTAAAAGAGTTTTGGTTTTCATTGAGCCCACCTCAGCTAAATCAACTTTAATAATTACAAGGTTATTAAAAATTCCCACCAAGTCAGAAGACAAAGATTTTAAATGCATTTTAATTTGGAAATGTTTGGTATTTCTATAGATAGAATTTTGCAAGTGAAAGTGGTTTTGAAATACACTCTATTACATTCAGAATGATAGATTTTTCTTAAGTGATTTAGCACAATGAGGTGTGTTCCTGGTAGTACTATCCACTAATGCTGTCCAGATTTTTTCCCACCAAGATTCATGCCTGACTTGAAAATACATAACTGAGTCTCTTCAGACTGGGATCCAAATCTTTATATTTAAATTAAAAGGGTTCAACACCACAGCTCTAGTTTTGACTTGTTTTAAAGGGAGTAAAATAGCAGTCGTTTTACCCTTTCTCCCTTCTCTGTCCTTCCCCTCATATACACACACATATGCTTAACATTTTTCCTGTAATTATCTTGCTATCCCTTTGGCTTGCTCCCACACATAATATCCTAGTGTTATCTTTGTATTACAACCATGCTGGCATATTTCATGCTGTATTAGTAAAAATAATAATTAGATATGCCACTAAGATAATAAGACAGAAAATAGTTAATATGTCAGGATATCTGTATCCTATTAGAACTGGAATTTTGTTTCTGCTCAGTCTGGCTTTCATTCAACATCCTCTGGTTCTGAAAGAATAAGCAACCCAAGCATATTCCTACACTTATGAATAAAGCCATACTGTAGACTATACACGAATAAATCCAGGCAGTCATTTTTATTGTCATCAAAGAGCATTTTTATTCCATGCCCACAAATGTTCTTGGTAATCTATGAAAGAGGCCTCTGAGCTAACAAGTGAAAACAGGCATCCTTCTCACCCCTTGCCTTGGCAGAAGTACGTGATCAGCATTCATCAGCAGTCACAAGTGAACTCATGTAAAGGCCTGTCTACAGACAGATGTTTTTCCAGTTGAGTCTTTGATTGGCCCACTTGTGCAGTATGACATGACCTTTAATTATACAGTCTAATACTACTTTTTGACTGAGCATTTGCCTCATTCAGTGCACAAGATGGATGAGAGTTCACTGGGAATTGAATTGGGTTAGGCAGTAAGGGCGACTACTGATTAGAGGTATCTCATCTAAGATGCAATTTGATGAACATTCTTGCTGCCGTTAATCTTTCAAGTCAGGCAGACAAACAGGCAACTAGGTACCTCACAGGTTTGTTCATAAGCACAGGAATTTGAGAACATGAGCAGACATGCTGATTGAAGCCATAGGTGTATCTAACCCAGTGCCCTGTCTCTGACAGCATTCGAAAGTGGATGCATACAAAAAAGTTTAAGGACAAGACAATACTACCTGCAGGTATTCCCCCAACTGCCATGCTTTTGTGGCTCAGGGATTTCCTAATCTGGAGGGGTCTTGAATGTAAATACTAAACCTCAGTTGATTTCTCTTCACTAGCATCCCATTAAGCCCTTTAAAGTCCTATTAATCTTTCGCCATATGCTGCCTTCTGTGGCAAGGCTCGTGGCTCACCTCCACCTGCGTGCCTTAAGCCTGCCATGTGCTGGTTTGCTGTGAATGATCAGTCCCTATCCATTCTTATCATGCAACTCATGCATATGTCTCATATTCTTTCAAAAAAGAAGGATGCAGAGCAGAAGCCAGAGGATGTACACAGGGTCCTAGAAAGCTGGTAGCATGCCCAGAAGGCAGCCAGTCTTCATTTCTGCTGTTATCCATGATAGCTTGGCCTGCCTGCCTGTGCAGTTGTCAGCTAGAGACATACCCTGTGGTATTTCTACTTCAGTGGCTCTTGGAAGAAAAGACTGCTGATGGCTTAAATAAATAGAAGATTTCAGGAAGTGTGTGAGTGGTCTTTTGGCCCAGTTGAGTGCCACTATAGACAACGGGATTTTCTCTCTGATGCAGCAACAGAATTTGTGTGATGCTGAGCTAGTCCAATAGACGAGACTTTTCCCAGATGGATATTAATTATGCGTTTGAAATCATGGGGTTTGATTTGCAGAAGTGCTGAGCACTCACAGCTGCAGTTGATGTCATTGAGAGCTGTACACTGTACATGCAAAGTGCTGCTTAATGCCAAGTTCCCTGAAAAATCAGTCCCTTCACATCCCGTATTGGTCACTGCAATTCACAGCTGCTTCTGACCTAAATTTCTTTGAGTTACAGAATCACAGAATCACAGAATGGTTGGGGTTGGAAGGGACCTCTGTGGGTCATCTAGTCCAACCCCC